TTCATCTATATATATATATATATATATATATATATATATATATAGATTATTATTATATTGTATAAAGATGTATCATTGTAAAATGATTGTGGTGAAGGCGATGACAATAAAAAGAAAAGTCAAGTCGACATATTTTTGGAACATAATTTATTTAACACAAATATTTCGTCCACTCCATCAGCATAAGTCTGAGTCAGTGTAAGTCTGATGCTGGTGAAGTCCACAGGAGTGGACAAATTTGTGTTACTTGGTTGTACTGAATGAGATTCTATTTAATGTTCTACAGTGTACTAGTAATTCGTATCCGCTTATACGAATATTTTTGTTACTCGAAACCTTAAGTAACATTTAGATTAATTATAGACACAGATCGTAACTTACCTGAAGTTAATTGATATAAATATGTCTGAGGAATCAGGTTACGTACTTTATTTCCTTTTGCATAAATAAACCGTGCAATCATTATTGAGCCACTTAATATTTAGCCATTTTATAAAGTTCAGGCATAAAAGTGTATGTAGTACGGTACTTTGTATGAAAATGTATGGACTACTTCCTTGATACAATATCTACTGTGGTTGCAACTGACGGTTATTTTCTATTCTTGGGCTTTTTCTTTTAGCCAAATGTAATGTTGCATTGAATCGGAATACCTTGTCTGTTACGCTTTATTAGTAATAATAATATATTTTCACGAATTATTCTACTTGTTGCATCCTGGTCGGTTATTCCCATATGCCTATAAATATGTTACATTTTAATATAGATCATTAATCGACATTTCTTTTGGCCCCAAATCGGCCTTTTATTGAACAGAACGCTTTTTGAGCGTCGAAATCCGGATATGATAAGAAACAGCAACAGATACTTGTAAGATATTTTTGGTTCATTTTTCTTTCAAACAATGCCTACTTCAACCACTAATGTGTGAGCATGTAGGCGGCACCCGGGCCCTTGGTTACCACATTCCCTTAACGAGGATGTGTTTCTATTGCATCCAAAATCCAGGGGATTCTAGAAACGCTAGTGGGTCAGTTGGAAGACCTATTGTAGGAGTGAGAGGCAGTGGCGTCGAGAGCCAGTAAGGGCCTCGGGGCAACACCTCACATGCCCCCCTCCCCTTCACTTGGGACCCCCACTCGGCCGCTCCCCAAATTAAGTCTCCTCCTAGGACCCTATTTGTCCAAACAAACATATATGAATATGATTCCATGTAATTATTTCTTTGCAATGTAGATGTATCAGAATAATCTGATGAATAAACGATAATAATTATATATATAATACACGTATATACATACCACTTTGCATCTGGTTTGGAACGGGAGAGCATTGGGTGGACTATTCCCCTGGGGGGATTATTCATCTAGTAATAAAAATACAGAAAGACTGAGAAAGACGCCCATAAAACAATAATGTAGAGTTTGTTCTGACAACAAATTTTTCATCGCTTGGGCTCGGGCTCTATGGAGATTTTGTTCTTACCCCAAAAATTTTTCATCTTGGTCCGGGCCCCCCAGTAGACCCGGGCCCCGGAGCAGCGACCTCCCTGACCCCCTCCCCCTCTACTCATGGATGTCAAACATAACAACTAAAATTATCGGGTGACTGGTGTTTGGCATTGGGAATGAACCCTAGGATTAAACCAACCACTAATTTTCGAATGTGACTTTGTTTTGGAAATATATTTTAGGCTTAAAAGGAACCTAGAAAGATGGTATTTTTCTATAGGGGATTTTTGATATGTCATTAGTAATAGAATCAACTTTAAAATCGTTTTTTGGCAATTTTCGCAGCGTGACGCCAGTGTAAGCTACTGTAACCAAAAATCGCACGGGGTTGTTAATATTTTGTAGTGTTTGCCTTTCATAGATAACGTGTCGTCACGCTATTGTCATGGTACTGGAAATTCCTATTTGCAAGTTTATTCTAGAAAGTACTGAGGAGTGAAAACAATTTTTAAAAGTTGTGTGTGCATTTGAAACCTGTCGTAGTTTCAATTTGGTCAAAATAATATCGTTCGTCATTCACTCCCATTCCTTAGTAAAGTTTGCAAAGTAAGTAGAGTAGGTAGGTCCGCAATTGATTGGCCTTTCATTCGGTATATCAGCACGCACTTCTGTGGTTTTGGTCAATCGAGCATGTCTCAGGTAGCCCTATATATTGTTCATATATAAGCAGAAACCACTACGAAAACAGTTGCTACACACACACACACCCACACACACATATATACATATATATGTATATATATATATATATATATATAAATATATATATATATATATATGTATATATACATGTATATATATATAGATGAAAGCTCAAGTATATATACTGTCTCTTATACACATCTAGATGTGTATAAGAGACAGGGCTTATATATATATATATATATATATATATATATATATATTGTATAAAGATGTATCATTGTGAAATGATTGATTGTGTTGAAGGCGATGACAATAAAAAGAAAAGTCAAGTCGACATATTTTTGGAACATAATTTATTTAACACAAATATTTCGTCCACTCCATCAACATAAGTCTGAGTCAGTGTAAGTCTGATGCTGGTGAAGTCCACAGGAGTGGACAAAATATTTGTGTTAATTGGTTGTACTGAATGAGATTCTATTTAATGTTCTACAGTGTACTAGTAATTCGTATCCGCTTATACGAATTTTTTTGTTACTCGAAACCTTAAGTAACATTTAGATTAATTATAGACACAGATCGTAACTTACCTGAAGTTAATTGATATAAATATGTCTGAGGAATCAGGTTACGTACTTTACTTCCTTTTGCATAAATAAACCGTGCAATCATTATTGAGCCACTCAATATTAGCCATTTTATAAAGTTCAGGCATAAAAGTGTGTGCAGTACGGTACTTTGTATGAAAATGTATGGACTACTTCCTTGATACAATATCGGTTATTTTCTATTCTTGGGCTTTTTCTTTTAGCCAAATGTAATGTTGCATTGAATCGGAATACCTTGTCTGTTACGCTTTATTAGTAATAATAATATATTTTCACGAATTATTGTGCTTGTTGCATCCTGGTCTGTTATTCCCATATGCCTATAAATATGTTACATTTTAATATAGATCATTAATCGACATTTCTTTTGGCACCAAATCGGCCTTTTATTGAACAGAACGCTTTTTAAGCGTCGAAATCCGGATATGATAAGAAACAGCAACAGATACTTGTAAGATATTTTTGGTTCATTTTTCTTTCAAACAATGCCTATTTCAACCACTAATGTGTGAGCATGTAGGCGGCACCCGGGCCCTTGGTTACCATATTCCCTTAAAGTGAGAAACCTAATGTCCAAAAAAACAGGTTTGCGAGATAGGCTTGCCCAAAGCAATTTTATTGCATTTTCCGGATATTTTGGGTATGCTGAATCCAAAAATGCAAAGGTCCATTTTTTCCGAGATTGTCTTGGCGGCCATTTTGGAATTTCAAAATGGCCGCCATTTATACAGTAAAAGTAACCATAACTGCGCTATTAGAGTAGGTATCGACATGATTTTAGTACCAAACCCTATATTCTCAATGTTAACCTGTCCAATGGTGATATTCTCACAAACCATAAATGGCAGCCATCTTGAATTTCAAAATGGCTGCCAGTTTGAAAGTAAAATAGCAATAACTGTGCTATTAGAGCAGGTATCAACTTGATTTTGGTAGCAAACCATAGGTTTTCGATGTCAATCTGTCCAATGGTCATATTCTCACGAATCAAAAATGGCGGCCATCTTGAATCCCAAAATGACTGCCATTTGCACAGTAATAAAAAACAAAACTGTGCCATTAGAGCAGGTCAACATGATTTAGGTAGCCAAACCCTGTGTTTTCAATGTCAAGCTGCCGAATAGTGATATACACATGGATTCAAAATGGTGGCCATTTTGAATTTCGAAATGGCCGACAATTTTCTAACACAAACTGCTTAGTTTTTTGCGAAGTAATGTCAATTATTAATTGCAAAACCCAAGTTTTAATTGCAAACCTATCAACAAATTAACCTGTCTAATGGTTATATTTCAAGTGGAATCATACATTTCTTGGACCATGAAGGCAGAAAGACAACACATGTGAAGTACCAAAGAGAAATCCAAAAGGGGCTTTGTCATGATTCTGTATGTCAGTGGTCTATCGGAAAAGATCAGATCGAATGAGCACACACAACTTTAATACATGATTCAGACTTAAAAATAAGTTGAGAGAACTAGTGCATCCGAAAAACAAGATTCCATGAGCAAACACTCACCTTATAGTTATTATGTGGTCATTGCGACCAATAGTAAAAGGTTTGACCACTTAGGTGAACATGAAATGAGGTTGAAAAATATAAATAAAGGGGTACGAACTAGAGCCAACATGGGTTCTTCTTAATGAGACATGCACAAATCAGCAATCACTGGACATATGGTCACACACAACCACATCCCAGATTGGAAATACTAAAAGTTACAGGGGGAACTGATGTCGGCAGTAGATGAATAAGGATCTAAATGGTTCAGAAGTAAAGACAATAATATTAACAGAGACGAGGGAGTACACCAATTGTCCCATGTGTTTGAACAATTTTTGTCGACCCACAACAAGACCCAGGGACTCCTGCTTACATCAGACCAGGAGAGGTTTGCCGACACAATACCACCAGTCGGCAAGCTGGAGATAGATATGCAGATTTCTAAACGTTAGTTTCAGGATGGTAACTGAGTGACCAAAACTGTCATACGTATGTTTTTTAAAGTCTAAAATATCTAAGAAATTTAACGTAAATATCGA